GCCAGATCGATCTTTTCGTGATGGTCTCCGATGGTCATGCGCAGTTTCACCACCTCCGTGATATCTCCGCCCTTGTTTCTACTGCTGTCGGCATTGTATACTGCTTGTGCTTTGGGCAGTTTTACCGTGTTCATTTGTTGTTCCTGTACGAACGCTCGATTTATGCAGCTCCCAGTGCATCCGCTGTCAACTAGGGCGTCGACCGCTCGCACTTGAGAGGTGTCCAACGTTTCGAGCTGTACACGGATGTTGACACTTCTTCCTCTTCCTCCTCGGATGTATTGTGGTGGGGCACGAAGGTCTTCCATGTTTTGTAAACACAGTTCTCGCTGTTTGTAGGTTTCTCCAGAAGACCCAATGAGGTCTAGGACGAGATCCTCATCTACTTTGATAAGGCGTCTGGGGTGTACCCACATTCGAAGGGTGGCGAGTTTTCCCTCCATTGTTTTTTCTTGCCGCATCTTTCTTCTTACCCACTCGGCGCTGTGGGGTTTCATCCATCCTTTGTCCCATTTGTCTTCGTAGTATTCCTCTTCCAACTCTGTTACTTCGTAGTCTTCCAGGTACTCCTCGGTGTGTATCACCGGGTCTTCCCCTTTTGGCTGTTCCTTGAGGCTTTGTTGATAACTGTAGTCGTCTTCCTCATCGGGCACTTCTTCAATGGAAACGGTCTTTTTATTGCAAATAGGAGAAACACATAATGGTCCCACCGACCCGCCCACTGGGGAACATGAGCCCCCGGTGCCATTATGTGTTAGCGATGAAGGTGGGAGACATACCGTGATGGGCTGTAAAGGGATGGGGTCCCCGCTCGTCTTGACTGTTCTTTGCGGGGCAGTGGTTTTATTGCTGGGGATTCGCGTTCCCTCTTGCGGCTCCATTCCACGATGGGGGCAGCCGGTCACTCGTGGCTGGCGCGTACATTCCGCCCCCGAGTGGGGTTCTTCACTGCTCACCTTGGGCTCGGCCGCTCTTCCTCTGTTTCCCGTGCTGTCATCTGCCCCCGACGGAGTGAGGTTGATCCCGAGTTTCCCGCTGCCTTGCGCAGCATGCGCCACTTGTGCTTTCGCACCGGTGGCCGAGGATCTTGAATGGGGTTCTTCTTCGAGCACGGTGGAAATCCCCTGTACACCATTCTCCTTTTTATGCGACTTGGTAATTTCATTTTGTGATAGCGTGAAAGATTTGTCATTGCCTCGAGATACTACATGCGGTACATTAGTCCGACCTGTGGGATTCTGTGACACACCACTAAATGAAATTGTGTCCTTTGCCGACGTGCGTTTGTCGCTTATGCCGCCGGCTCGTCTTTTACCTCCTCGATCTTCGACGTGGAGGCTTCTCCTTCTTCATCCTTCAATACTTGTTGGTACATGGCGCGGATCTGGGCCCGAGAGAACTTGGGCTGGTGCTTGACAAGCCAGGTACTCTCATCTTTGGGGCACTTGTTGTCTTGCTTCCGATGGCCCTTGTGACCGCAGCGGAAGCATCGTCCTTCTTTCCGCAGTCGGTCTATTTCCATCGGTTGCCCTTGTCCTCCATACGTGGTCCCTGTTCCCGTCTTCTTATCTCCCTGGGAATTCCTGGAGCTACCGGCTTTTCCCTTGCTCTGCTGGCCCTGCGTTCCTTGATTTCTGCCTGCATCTTCGGCTAATCCCACCCGGTAGTTGTAGTCCATTTGTTCCACCCTGAACTTCCATTCGGCGTATGTTCGGGGTAGGGCAGTACCGGTGGCATGTATGGCGGTTTTTACGTTCTTTCGAATAGCCGGCTTGAGTATCTCGATCATGTACTCTTTGTTATGGCGTTTGCCGGATTCTTTGGCTAAACGTTCGAAGTCCTGGAAGAACTCCTTGGCCGACTTGTAGGTGTTCTGCCTGATGCGTTTGAACTCCTGTAGCTTGAGTTCTATTTCGGCGTCCATACGAAACTGATCTTCTATGGTCTGCCTGAACGTTTGCCATGCCAGATATCGCAGGTAGCCGCACGTCTCGTCATAGTATTCGTCCCTGGCGTGATTCCACCAGTGTAGAGCTTTATCCGCGAGTCGGAATGTACAGAATACCACCCTGTTAGAGCTTTGTCCATGCGCGTTCATCGTGAATTGCTGTGGGAATACATTGAAGTAGTCCTCGCACTGGTTGAGGAATCGGTCTACGTCACTGGATTCCCCTTTGAACTTTTCGGGAGGTTCCACGAGTTGCGGTTTCACCTGTCCCCATGGGTTTGTATTGGCCACCCCAACTATGAATGGTGGCGGCGTGTTTGGTGGCTGGACAGGGTCGGCGGGAATAGGGATTGCCGCCGGATGCGGTAGTGATCGTAGTGCCGGGTTATGATGTGGGGATAAAGGGCCTTGAGGTGCAGGGGGTGGTGCCACAGGGACGGCTGCAGCTGCAGCTGCTGCGCCCGCGCTTCCTGGGGTTCCTGCCGCCGCAAATAGTTGACTAGGGTCGACGTACCCTGTTCTTCTGAGAATAGATAGGTGGCTTAAATCCACTGTGCTTCCGCTCGACGCTTCTGATGGTACTGGCACCTGGTATCTTTCTCCAGGGTCTGTGTAGTCGTCTGGGTGTACTTGGTTCCACAGAATGTTCATGTGGAAAACAGTTTCTCGGTAAATTACTTTGGCCTCAATCGTCGAATTCTTCTCTTTCTGGAAGTACCTCCCCTGTGGTGAACTGTTCCACGATAGTTCTCGTGGTAACTTCTTTTCGGTCCAGCGTAACATTTCCAAATATGTCATATTTTCTAGCTCGGCCTCAGTAGGCTCCCGAGCTAGATCCTTCCACGAATTCCGGGATGATATCCTCCTCTCCGTACTCTCCGACCCTATGCTGCTGCTGTAGATCGAAGTCCGCCCTATTCCAGGGTTCTCGTAGATTTCGCCTTCTTCTAAGTCCGATAGGTCGGACTCACTCGAAAGGCTCCATGCTTCCTGTGATGATACGGTTCCAGTTTCGAATGATTCGGGCCCACTCATTGACCCTGAGAATGACCTGTTCGAAGTCTGGTCTTCGGGGTCTGTCCCAGACCCAGGGTGCGATGAAAGGGATGGAGGCTGTGTGGGGGTGTTCCGGCGTGAGTGGATAGATGGCGTAGGGGATGATGGAGGCAGGGGCCTCGATTCCTTCGTACATGAGCCACGCGTTGGCGTAGTCCTGTATTCGTCTGCATATTTCGCAGCTGGCATCGGCGTCATATGTGGGCTCGCACTGGTCAAGCTCGGTGGTTGCTTCCCCAGCCCTATCGTTGATGATGATCGGGGTGTTTGGTTGGGTGATGAGGTTGAGGTAGCTCCCCTCGTCGTCTGAGGAGTCGTCACGGGCGTAGTAGTTGCCCCAGGTCTCTCCTCGTGAGTCCAGCCTTGGAGGGGACCAGTTGTTGCGCGGCCCTGGGAGCTCATCGCTGTCACTGTCTTCCTCTGTATCGCTGCTTTCCTCATCTGAACTGCTTCCAGTTCCATCTTCAGCCATTCTTCTTTCTCCCAAATGGTATCTAAGCCCTCGCTGATAGATGCGTTGTCCGTCTGAATCATACCCAGGGTTGGCGGCTGAGTTTTCGGTTGAAGTGGGGGAAGGGGCATTCCAGGGATCACTTCCTTTGCTTTCCCCTTTGCTTTCTTCCTCGGTAATGGGAGAGAGAACACGCTGGTCCACCCCCCTTTCGTAGATTCCTCGCTCTTCTTCTTCTTCAATGACTGGGCCTCTTTGTGCAGGCCATCCTTCCATCTCAGTGTTGGACTCACTGGACTCGCTTGTGTCGGAGTCTTCTGTGATCCACTCGTCATCGGTGATGAAGATGAAGTGGATAATTGGGTCGGGTCTGTCATCGACGTAGTTGGGAGGGGGTGTGTGTGGTCATCTAGCCTCCGGGTTGGGGGCTTCGACGGGGAGAGTTTCTTCAGAGGCTGGCTCCTGGTTTCGTCGGTATTCGTATCCATATAGGAATGCGAGATATGCTACAGCAATAAAGCCTTGTAGTCCAAAGAGGTCGGTGAGGTATTGTTCGATAGGGTTCATTCGTTACTGTTCGTCAACGTGGTTGTTGATGAAGAGTAATAAAGTCTCGAACTAATTGTTAGCGACCGATTACACAAACAAGATCAAACAACTAGGCGTGACTCGCACTTCGGTCAGGCACCTTGTGTTGCTCGCAGGTTTATGTGCAGGGAGCTATCGCTTTAGTTGAGCGAGAGTGAGTTCAGACTAAGTTATCGGGTGAATAAACTTTAGTTTGAGACTGAGGTTTAAGACCTGCAGTCGAGCTACTTAAATACAGTTTGGGTCGTGCTAAATATACTACAAGTGTCTGCAACGGTGTGTTAAACGTACTGAACCTGCATGGTAGAATGCAATCAAGTCCGGAGAATTAGCATAGCAGGATTACGATGAAGTCGATAAGATAAGATAAGGCACGAAATTGTAATAGTATCCTGAATTTAAGATGTCCAGACATGAGAATATAAAAAGAATCACCTGTTTTATTTTTGAGAACATTATTTGCCACTGAGAGAGTTTATGCAAAATTGTTACAGACAATGAACCCATTTTCAAAGCCACTCTCAACCTATTAGCAGAGATGTACAACACCCACCACATCACTATTTCTGTTTACAATTCACAAGTATAAGGCATAATAGAGAAGACATCTAAATTTCAGGAATTCAAGTAAGTGGAGTCAAGTAGATCACTCTGTAATATGAGCAGAAAGGGCTATTCTGTTTTATACACTAGAAAAAAGTTCTTATAAAGTGACAACAGGTGTTTCATTTACCTTATCATTGAACATAGTGGAAGCATTATTTCTCATAGAACCTTCCATCTCATCTCTATCAACATCCAATCTGATTGCAAGATATGCTATCACACTTCAAAAGCAACCTGCTGATCTTGAATGCATCCACTCCAAGAGTCAAGACTGTGGAAAGATAAGAAAAGGAACACACTAACTGAATCATTGATTAGGCTTTCTAACCAGGTTCCTTAGTCCTTGTATAAAATACAAGGGTGGAGTATGAATTCAGCAGGAAATTCAAGCTAAGGTATCTAGGCTTACTGGTATACATCTCAAAGAACAGAGGTGGTGCTTTTATTCTTTACAACTTGGACAGAACTGTACTAGTGGACACAGTCACTGCTTTCTACCATATTTCTTATCATTTATGAGATCATATCTCAATTCCCAATCTAGCAGATTCTATCAACCAGCTACTTTCATAGATAAAAGCCTTGAAAAAGACAACAATGTCATATGGTGATAACTAAAAACAAGGATAAGTAAACCAGACATTATAATCTCAATGAACTCTTTTTAGCTCTATTTCATTATTTTTCTTATCTCACTTGACTTCCTCAATTTATTGTTCCTTTCTCATGTATTTATAAAGAAGAGGTATATTAAAAACTGAGTGGCCTTTAGATTTAATTAACATCTAAGGCAGAGCAAAACACAGCCTAAAATGCATGAGAACTTAGAAGTGTTAGAGGTACAGTCCTCAGTCATTGTAAATTTTCTAAATAACTTCCCTTTTAGACTCTACCACCAACTCTGCTTTTGAACTAGTAAATTGCTTGAGTGGTGTCTGCACCCATTCTTAAGAGGTAGTATGAGATCAGATCCTCACATTAAGTGAGCAGTTCATATCTACTGATTGGGCTCTCTGCTATGAGTTGGACAATTATAGCTTATTTTCTGAAATGAAAAACTTACTAAACAAGCATGATAATTAGCAGAGAAATGGCTCTGCCTGAGTATGCCTCTCAGAAAAGTGGATATTTAGCCCAACTATTGAATCCTCTGAGCATGTGCTGCTAGCAGTACTTTTGAATAGGCAAGAAGGATTATAGACTCTGATGACCCTATAGAATTGAAGGAAAAGGAGGTGGACTTATTAATATAGAGTGATTTCTTGCATACTTTTAGACAGTAGTATATATCTTGTATTCTGGATAGTTATTAAGGGTCTTCTTGAGTACTCTGAAAGTTTAGTAGAGTTAGTTTGAGATGAAAGTAAAATGTAAAGAATTTCTGTGAGTAAGCAGCCAAGCAGAGAGTGGGCTCTCTCTCAGCCAAAATTTCTCTGAATCCTGGCAGAGATAATTAGAGCATAAAATTACAAAGAAAGGGTAATGTTGTGTCAGTAAAAATAAGACAACCTACCAAGTAGACTTATGCAAGGTTAGATATCTTCAATATACATGGGAAAGAACCTCCTGCACAGGATAGGGACAACACTTATTTCCTGTAGAGATGTTCTTGTAAGGTCCTTGGCATAAATGGGCACCTCATCGATAAACTATGGTATGCAAAGTCTGAATTATAGTGGCTTGATAGAATAAGTAAGGTGCCAAGTCATGCATGTTGTTGCAGCCATCAAACATATAAGCTACAACTTTGATCCAAATATTGTCAAGTATGACCATCATTCTTAAGAGTGCAGACATTCGAGTCCTCAAACTACTTAAATTCTTTAGTTGTCAAGCAGAATGAAAGGAGCATGAGTGTTCTAAGACATTAATATAATGAAACAAATTCTATTTCAACAAGGATGTTGAAATTTATAATGTGAGAGAGAGATTGATACAGAACTCTGAGAAATTTTGACAGAAATTATATTCATACAAATATTTCCATCTAGGCTTTAAAAAAAGGCAAGAAGCCTCTCAAGTCTAAAGCCATCATCAAAAATATGTCTGACAATGAGCCCACCATGATTGTCTTAATCAGAATCTAGGAGAATACTGTGATGGGTAATGCTGATACTTTCTTAGCCAATGTGGACACTGATACAGTATCTATTCCTTTTCCAGCTGCCATCTTATGCACTGCTAATGAGATCATTGCTCATATTCAGCAGATATCCATTGATAACAAGATCAAAATCATGATTAACAAGAACCTAAGCTTTGGCAATATTGTCAACAGACACAAGGTTGTTCTCAAGTTGAAGAAAAACAAAGTCAAGGATATTGCAGTGCATCTTTAATTTTTATCATCTAGAAGTCCTTTTACTTATTGGACTTTGTAGAAACCTCAGCAATCCCAGTATACAGAGGTGATTTTTCTTTCTTATGCCCAAGTGCCAGATATAGATTTAAATTCCAAGAACTACCAGCTCATGAAATGATTTTGCATTCAATGACTCGGCATACTTAATAGCTTGTACATATTTCAATCTTTCATATTCCATCCTTGTCAAATGTTAAACAACCTGCATCCACACATGAGCTACAAGTGATTAAGCTCTTGTGCAGCACTTTACTCCTTCTAAACTGCTCTGTTCTCTGGCCTTCTGCTCAATTAATTTCATAGATCAACCAAATAACAAAGTAGTTTAACTCATGAAAAATCTAGTTTGATTGATGAGATATATTCAATCTTCCATCATTCACTTATCTCCAGTAGTAGACACCTCTTGGATAGGTGCAAATCATCTTGTCAACCTCCCATCTTTGAATAGTGTTCTTATTTAATCTCTGGCATGTCTGCATATGCTTTAGTTTTTTCTCACTGCTATCAATCTGCACAATTCTGCATTCAAGTGCATTCACCTTCAGATGACCAGCCAAGCAGTCTCATCTTTTACAGACATGCAATTGCAGATGAAACAGCTTCACATCTGGGCAGACAAACCTCTAATTCCCATCACAGTATATAGGTGGCATGTCTGACACCTACACAGCTTCTGAATGCCTACTATCAGCAGATACTGCCTTCTATAAAGCCACACACACACCAACATTGTAATCAGCATCATAATGACAAAAGATATCATTGTCTTTCACATGGACTGACATTGGTAGGAGGTATATAAGCACCCAGAACCTCAACCAGCAGTCTGCAATCAGATGATAAGCCAGTCCAAGTGCAGCTGCCAAAATCTTCTTCTTGTCCTTTATCAGATTCTCTTGAGAGAGCTCATACTAGACTAGTATGATTCTTCTGACAAGATGGCAGAATTGCAGGAGCTGTTTCCATAAGAGCACCTGTCTTAGCTCTGAGTTTTAGAAAAGAATGTGTATTAGTTGAGCAAAGATCAATATTATGGATATTGAAGACTCTGCACTCATAGACCAAGATTTTATAGCTTCAATGCTGGCCCTTCTCTGCATACTGCCTGATATCCCACATCACCATCAGCCACATGAGTCTACACTTAAAGAACTCCATTCAATGCTTTATAGATATGCCCAGCACAAGAGTTTGACAAATAGACATCTTTATCTTTAACTGTTGATTTAGTGTACTGCTCTCTTACACTTAGTCCTTCAGCCCTAAAGCTTGCAAATAAATGAGAAATTTCATTAGCTTGAGCCTATCTGGCCTCTCCAATGTTTTCAGAACAGCCACTCACTCATTTCACTAGCTTGGCTTGAGTAGAGTGGATGGTGATAGAATGCAGGTCTAGTACTTCTATTGCATAAGACACTTACATTTCAGGAAGGAGTCATCTGGCAGGAGCAATCAAGTACAGCACTATATTATCACTAACAAGTTGCCCAGCATCCTCTGAGTCAGCAAGCAAAACTGAATGCAGTGTTATGACTCATCAGGGCAGTGAGATTGCCTGATCATAAATGAGAGGCAAAAGTGCATGTTCAGTGGAGATGGACTGATCTTAAAGTGAGACATCTGGTCATTCCAAGAGTCTGAATTTTGGAAACATTTGACTCAGTTTAAGAATTGAATATGCACTAGGCTCTGTACCTCCTCTTACTCAATGAGAGGCAAGCCCATGCAAGTAGAGTTATTGAGATATAATGGTAATGGTGATAGAGACTACCACAACAGCTGAGAAAACTCCAGTACAAACACAAGTTACAGATTTATCACAGATAAAGTGCCAATGCTGCTGCAGATCTGGGAGTATAGGATCCTCCTCTTCAATAAAAGAGCTTACAAAGCTGCCCTTCTGGCTGTGACCTATAAGAGAAACAGAGGTAGACATGATATTGAGAGGGATTAGTCTGCTCAAGTAGAATCCACACACTAGCAAGGGCATCCATACTGGTCAGAGTTGGTGAGAGCACCAGCCAAAGAGAGTTCATGTGTGTTAGGACACCCATCACAATGAGATAAGTCAACTGAGATGTGGAGCTGAGAAAGACAGTGATCTGTGAGCCCTTTGTAAGGATCGTCAGCATTGATTTGGAGCTAAGAAGAGCTAGTATGATACATACCACTTGGTGCTGGACATGACCAGATGAGAAAGATCTGCTAGACAACATCTCTGAGTACAATAAAGAGGCACTCATGTATTAGGCACAATAGGGCCAGGAGTGTAGACTGGATATAATGGATGCTTGATAACCTGAAAGACAGTGTAATAGCTTGAGTGACTTCTATCACATGGCACACAATGGTGACTGCATAAGTGAGACAATCAATGAGAATTTTGATGTAGTATATCAGGAGTGTATCTTCAATAGAAGCCCCAGTCACAAATATATAAATGATCAATATAGGCCCCAGCACTTGCTCCATTTCACCATCAAGTTGATAGTGCTGACTCTTGAGAGAGTCTTTAGCTACGGATGAAGCATAGTCTTTATCTTTGATGTTTGCATCTGCATCTGCATCTGCATCAGTGTGATTGAGATACATTGCTATCATTGAGATTGTCAATGTTTATGTGGTTCTTTGTGGACCTGGTAGCCCTCTTCTTCATTCTGCTCATTCTCCATAGGTTCATACTTCTACTTCTGGTCTATATTATTTGTGCTGTTATTGCAGAGCACTCTGCCAGATTAGATGTGAACTAAAATATTGCTAACAAATGGTGGATTGGGTTCAACATCAGAGTCCTCAACAAGGATGCATGAGCAATCTGATTTACTACCATTACTATGCATGTGGGTGTTAACTTCATTGAATGCATCCATCTCCTTGAGGTCCAGAGAATTGAATTAATATAACCATTTAAGCTCCACTAAAGATGCAGACTTATAGTCATGAGGTGATAGACTGTGTTCATTTAAATCTGCATAATCAGATATAGGTGACTTTGGATCCACTTGCATGTATGGTGGGTAGCAGAATTAAGGTAACAAAGGCTGGGTCACTGGCTGGGAGGCAGGAGAAGGTGGTCTGCTGTTTGGCTGCACAGTTGAAGACAGGAGATCCTGAGTCATTTGGAGTTCAGAGGTCTGATGGGAGTGAGAGAGAGAGAACTGCATATGCTTAGGGATCAAGAATAGCAAAGCTTTGGAGGTGTTGCTTGTTATGGTTTATTCATTTTTTCTACTCTTTTCTCACTTTTCTCTTACTCTTGTTACTTACGCTATATGCTTCCATCATGCGATCATAATGGACGCGTTCTCACAGTACTATTATTAGTCTATACATTGTGTATTTAAGTAGAGCCTCAGCTGGTCTAAACCCCAGCTTCAGCTAAGGTTTATTCTACCCAACACTGAACTCCTTGTTTCACATCTATCTAAGTCCCGATCGACTTATTTTATCGCCTTTGACTCACTAGAGTATCGTCCACCGAAGTGCGAGTGGTGATCCTAGTCCGATCTAAGTTGATTAAAGTTGGTTGTTGACATTTAGCCGAAGCTCAATGAACCTGTTGCTCAGCACCACGTCAGAGGACGAACACTGCCCAATGACTTTCCACTGTTTATTTCAAAACTCACATTGCATATTCATCAGCGTTGTATGCTGATCAATACGTCTTGTTGAGCCCAAACCGAAATTCATTGCCGGACTCTTTGACTACTAAATCTCAAGTGCCCATGCCGCTTGCTGAACTGCTTCCTATGGTCGCAGTAGCATTCAGATTATTAGCAGGCACACTCCTAGCGATTGCCCTCAGGGCATTATATAGGTGTTGCATGCATGCTAGAAGGGCCCGATTGCCATTCCATTACATTCCACATCTTCCGATTCTATACCCCACTGTTCCATACCCACACATTCCAGTGCACCCAACCCTTCATGATGGATGACCCATCATGCCCTGAGGAGAATCCTCAGATTCCGGGGAGTCTTCCCCAACCCCAAGAGCAGCCTCCATCAACATCACAGACGTATGAGGCATCGATCTCGGAGATATCCATGTCTCTCCCCCAGGCATCATCGACCTCCCTCCCGTTGGAGGAGAAGAAGGAGGGGATCTGGACGAAGGCGAAGAAGGCAATGACAAACTTACCGAGTTCGAAAGGATCTGTATCCAAGACCTCCTCAACGGCATCCCGACGCAAGAAGATGATGTCACCTATTTCAGAAACGAGGGACCATCCTCATTCTCCCTTGCTGCAGAAGCAGATACCCACGAGTACTTCTGCGGAGACGACCTTGCGGAAGATAGTGGAGAGCTTGGTCTTGGGGCCTCTGCCGCAACTACCACCGGTCCAAGTCGAGCAGTCCCCCATAACAATGGAGGTGCACCAGGCAGAGGAGAGCAGCGAGGGATCCCTGTGGCGTGGTACCCCGCAACAAGTTGGGTCTTCGCAGGGGAAGAAACTCCTATGGCCGGAGTATCAACCAAAACCGCCGGATCTGAGGACACCCCGGTCCCGAGGACCATTACCCTCCCCGCCAAAACAGAGCAGCGCATTTGGGACACCATTGAGTCGTACAACCCAGAAACTCAGCCCGATCTATATGCAGATACCCCTGGAGCAGGTCCCTCTGCTGACGAATTCCCTGGAGTCCCCGCTTTCACCCCGTCAGTCATGCCAAGGGCCTTTGCAGCCCCCGTCCCGTTCAACCAGTGACCATGGACTGATGAGTACAACACACTCGTCGAGTCCAACTTCGACCTTAGAAATGCCAGGCTCACCCCAGACGGAGCGGCCAGAGTGGACCATGGAAAAACGGCTAGCGCATGCACACGAAATGCAGAGCGCCATGCCATTCAAGAGCTCGGCTTCAACCTCCCCCTTGAACCCGACACCACAGATGTGGAGGCTTTCCGAAGGATTGGAACTGTGGAGCTTCAACTTTGAGAAGCTTCCCGAAGAATGACCGACCTCGAGGCTCTCAAGGAGATTCGAGAGGACTACCTCTTCAAGACCCTTGATGAGGAGTGTTTGGACCTCAGCGACTGGCACAGGGAACGTCAATAAAGGGAAAGGCGATGACGAGAAAATGAGGAGTCTGAGCCGTGGGCCCTCAGAGCCAGTAGACAGTGGAGCACCGAGGAGGTCACCCACTGGAATGCCGAAGAAGCCGCCCGTGAGCACAATAATGAAGGAGGTGATGCAGCAGATAAAGAAGGTTCTCACTGAACCAATCACCGTGGTACCCCCGGAGTTAAACCTCCTGACTTGGGGTAATATGTATGAAATCATAGCGGAGGATATGATCTAGGACCCGCAGTGGCTTCTTTTGGAAGCAGGGGAAGATTACTTGGATGCCCGACTTTCCGGGGATGAGTATTTGATGAAGAACATCCTCGAAGTAGATGCCTGGCACCGGGCGGCCATAGTCTGGAACATCTGCAATCCCGACTATCCCAAACAGGGTTGCTTGGCTTACCGACGACCGGCGCCCATGCCACATCCACTGGAGACGGCGAGGATTGACGCAGGAGGAGGAGGCATGGATCAGGGATGGATGGACGAGGGAGGGGCAGGGCCCTCCAACGTCGACAAAGGAAAGGAATCAACCGTACCCCCGCAACCTCCAACAAGACCGCCGCCGCCACTACTGCCTAATTATCCAGGAGGATATCCATCCCTGGGGCATAACCCCCATCTTAGGTCTCTACCGTGACCCCCAAACCCGCCGGTACCTCCTGTACCACCCTTGCCGCCGGACCCTATTCCTCCATGGCAACTGGCCCCAGGAGCCATGAACAACCCATGGAACGATGTTAAACCAAAGTTGATCATGCAACCGGAGTACTTTACCGGAGTATCTTCAGATATAACTTGCTTTCTCCATCACTGTGAGTTGTATTTCCAGGTGTTCCCCATGTACTACACGATGAACGACGAAGGGCAGAATCCTTATTGGATTACGTTCGCCCAATCGTACCTGAGGGGCAAGGCACAGGAGTGGTGGAATGACCAGTACTACCAGTATCGAGATGCACAAGGACACTGGAGATTACCGTCATGGGAAGAATTCACCCACAACCTCACTGTTCAGTTCCGTGAGGTGGCAGAGCTGGCCATCTGGAAGCAGGAGTGGAAGAAAATTCGCCAATTGGACTTCAAGTCGGCCGTGGAATTCTTTGCGAAGTTCGAAAGACTAGCCCATAAGTGCGAGGAGTTCGGAGATGAAAAGCAGATGTTCGAAGCCATGGAAGCTGCGATACGCCCCTCAGTCCGAAACACCATCATGCATGGGGACAACTCTTGTCCCACTACATACACGGAATGGAAGCGGCGCGTCGAAAGAATCGATGCCAATTACTGATACGGCATGGCCCAACAGCAGGGCAATAAGTCCTCCTCAAACCAAGGTAGCGGTTCAGGTCGAGGCAACCAAAATCAATCAGCACAGAAGACTGGTGGCCAGGGTTTGAGTGGTGATAAGAAGGATGCCACCGGAACGACCTATGGTGGAGTAGGGCAGCCAATGGAAATTGACAAGTTGCGGAGCAAGAAGCAGTGCTTCAAGTGCGGAAATACCGAGTGGAGCTGGGACCATAAATGTCCAATGGACAAGTCGAAGTGGATCCCCATCAAACTCCCTCCTCGCAAGAAGATTCCCACTCAACGACTACGACAACTACTCACAGAGGCAGAGAAGGAAGAATTAGGAAAGGACACGAAGGTCGAGGAGGTCAAGGACGATGAGTCGTCAAAAGACGAGCTGGCATCGAAATAAGTGATTCAATGATGTCAGCAAAGGACTTAATTTCTAGTGGTATGCACTCTCAAGTCGCTGGTCGGACTTATACTATGTATGTAGGTACTCCATATGAACAATATACCAACTCATTCACTGCGTTACCTATCGAAATTAAGGAAGAAGAATCGCAGTATGCTAACAGCGTAGGAGGGGATTTCTGCTGCTCCACACAGCCCATGTCGAGCAATGAACCCCGAGGGGCTGTCCCACCTCAGGAACCCCTGCTTGACAGCATGGGGAAAGTTCGGGATGCAACCAAGAGGCCCTCATGTCAAGTCCAGACTAGCACCAGACATGGTGGCGGTTGCCCCGGGAGGGAGAATTGGCCGATGACCCCGGCTGGAGGGCCTACCCAAATTGTTCCTCCAGTCAGCAATGGAAAAGCAGCTGAAGCCAGGAACCAAGGAGACCACTGGCACTTAGTAACGGTCTCGTCTGCGAACAGTGTCAACCCCCTTGGGGAGCCAACATGTGTGCATCCGTATAGGGTCACCGAGAGTACCGCCGGGTACAGGAATGAGGATAAGTATGGATCACCTGTGGAGGTTACAACGCTGAGCACAAGCGCCCTTGGCCAGGGCCAAATATGGGGCAGCAAGCCCTTCTCCACCGCCTCGTTGAACAGCGACCAAATGCTGCCTAAGGGCCCTTCTCAGCCCGGTGACCAAATGCCGCCACGAGGACAAGACCACCGACTTGTGACGGTGGAGGAGGTGGAGGATGAAGAAGCACACCTTCAATCCGATATCCCTGTGCAATGCCCACGAAGATCCCACTCCATCCATGTGGATGCCCTC